GGCTGGCGCTGGGAATGTACTTGAATGACATGAATGAACGAAGCGAGTATGCATCGTGCTTCATCATGTTGTGCCAGCCCGAATGGACATTTTGCTCTAAGTCTTTCATGAGGTCCTTAGCGAATGGCTGGATGACATCCTCGACAATATTCTCAACTCCCGCGACGACGTACTGAGAATTCACACCCATTTCTTGGGCACGGAAGTCAGGAGGGCGCGATGTCTGAGAGACTTGATAACGTTGATTGTTGAAGTAGAGGAAATGCCCTTGTCTCTGTGACGTAAATAATAATCGATCAGTTTGGAGCTTAGAGGTGCCTTGGATAAACCCTCGTTGAGCTTCGAGTAGTTGATTAACTCGCCCAAGCGCCTCATGATGCCAGGCTTGTAATTGCCTTGAGCATCCTTCTTTGGCAGGGGAAACCTCATGGCGCCAACATCCTAGTTAGCGGGAAAGCCAAGAGTTTACATGGTCAGCATCTTTGGCGCAGCATCAAATGAACGACATACGTAGTAGTCGTATTTGCCACCATTCGGAAAGTTGTAGGTGAGGAGACGTCCGCCGGTGCGGCCAGACGCCTCCAGGATCTCATACTCGATGTTCAGCGAATTTAGGATGAGGGCAGTGTATAGACCACCAACTCCTGCGCCTAGGATTCCTACTGCACCCGGCGGACCATAACCATGTTTAGGGAGCACAGGTAGCTGCGAGGTCTCTTCGAGAGGAATCGCGGTGAGTGAGGGAATGTTTTTGAGGAGAACATCATCATAATCTTCGATAATGTTTCGACCCCAGTAACTGAACACATCTCCTTGGAAAACCATGATAAGCTCGCAGCTGGGATTGAAGATAGAATTTGTCGAATATATGTCGTCTAGTAAGCACAGACCGAAAACCACCTTATATATTGTGTTTCGTTCGGAGAATGAGAGGGATCAGCGCTAGCCTATAGCGTAAGCAACATTTGGACAGGAACCTGAAGATATCGGATATGGAGTAGCCTCGCCCGCGGTTGATTTCTTTAGACCCCATCACCATATCCGGCCAAGTGTCTCGCCGCCTCATACTGTATCATGAGGTTGTGAACTTGACCAACTTGATTAAATATTTGTTCGTCATATAAATCTGTTGGACTCAGAGAGATCCGAGACGAGGAAGACCGAAGGTTCCAACCTAGGTACGGAGAGTGAGTGAGTGAGGTACGAGTGCAAACCAAAAACGGACTAAGGCGAGCGACGTATTGACGTCGGCTCGCGTCCTTCCTTTATTTTATGTTTCGCATTTATATCCTACAGTAGTCAAGCCACCCAGCTTAAAAGGGCCAGCAGTAGCGCCCAGACATCTCAGTTCTTTTCAAGAGACTGAGATGTAAGTCCTGATAGTTACCTGTATTCACAATGTTCTAACGCCCTAGTAATGTACTTGTCCTTATAGGTACACCTACCATTAACAGAGTTCTTTTCAAGAGACTGAGATCGTACTTGTCCTTATAGACTCCTCGTCCTTTTCGCTCCTATATTCACCGCAAAATCTGCTGGAGCGTACGATAAAAGGTGCTAACTGTTCCAAAGTCATGCAGAAGTCACTCGTGGTCATGTGACGTTAGTCACTTGGTTATCCAAGAGCCCTATCTTACACGTCTTCCTTTGCCTGTTGAATTTTGTTTATCCATCTGGGTCTCAACATCAATTCCGAGTAGCTCATCAAAGAGACACTTGTCCAGTCCATGTGGGACTCACGCACGACTGTTTTCTTCACCGATACCCAATCAGGAGCGATCATAGATGCTAGCTGGACTGTACACGCTGCCGATAACGAGGGTCGGTTTACTATTTGCTCGAGAAGTATGCCTACTACCCCTTAGAAGGTCTTATTAGGATCTTTTAATCAAAATGATACCCTTGAATGGAGAGTCCTTGATAAGCTGACTTGTCTTCTACGAGTACGTCCCATCCAAATCCAAATCCTCCCCCCCGTCCCATTCACTAACTCGCTTCCAGTCAAAGAAGCCCTGGATGACTTAACACTATCCATCATACTCATCACCACCCGCACACCAACACAAATATTCCTCATCCAATCCAAGAAAGCTTCTACGAGTAGTGGCCCAAAACTAGTGTGCGTTACTATCCCGTACAGAGGACCCCATATAACCTCGACTACTGCGTTTGTTTCCGGTTGTCGTCATATTAACACTTGAAGGATTTGCATCCCTCTTTCTCCTACCAAACCGCGACCCCCAAACTACAACCCTAATCACTTGCTCACCCACTCACATCACAGACACCCTCAACCTCTTCAACTACACAGGCTCCATGGGATTCGGCCAAACATATATTCAAAAGCTCCTCAGGCACTGTGGGAGCATTGACGTCGAAGATATCGCAGAGAGTGTCAGGGAACCTCTTAGAAAGGGCATTTCGGAGGAAGGAAGACAAGTCGTGATGGGGGGAGTCATAGCGGGTTTATCGCTGCCCATCGTACGTCCTCTTTCGTCCGAAATGACCTTTTTCATTCACACTCGATATACATGTTCGATGACGATGACGCTGACGTTCATCTATACAGTGATGTGCCAATACCCAACCTTATTTAATGCAGTATCACTCCGCAACCCCGACATCTCAGCAGGTGAACTCGCACCAGGGACTGATATCCCTGATTGGGTTTATTCTGAATTCGGGGTTCTATCCACCGACTCTGATTATGACTCCTATACGTCACCCCCATCCAACTCCAACTCCCTCACATCACCCACACCAACGCCTCTCACGTCCGCACCTTCCCAAACGATGCCCCTGGCCACACCTCCACCTCCACTAATGACACCCAAAACATACAACACCCTATTCACTGCATCCCCAATCGCGTACGTCGATAATATAACAGCGCCAGTACTGATGTTGATAGACGAAGATGTCATGACGGTCGCTCCAGGGCAGGGGTTTGGGTTTTATCATGCGACTAAGGGGAGGGGGCGAGGATGGGACCGCGGCTGGGACTGAAGATGGAACTGGGAATGCAACCGGGACTGGCGATGAGACAGGGACCGAGAAGGAAAAAAAGAAAGGGATAGTAGAGATGTTATCCTTCTCCGGAGAATCGCATGCGATCGATGGAGTTGAAGCTACTGGGATTTCGTTCGAGGCTACGAGGGATTGGTTCAAGGCGTTTGCAGAGGGCCGTTAGTCATGCAGTGGTGTGTACATATGGGAAATCATGTAGGCTGAGATATATCCTTGACGTCGACCATCGAAATTTGAACATAGTGTAAGTTCGAAAGGTCATTCCTCTCGTTTCAACTGGATATTTGGAATATCAATGGATGTGATACTGGTTCGATCAAGCGTTGCGCTGTGTTATGGTGTCGTTCTATATTGGACATCTTGTTAGCTCCCTTGATCTCATGCATGAGCAGTAGCATAATTCATACATGAGATCATGGGAGTTAATAACTTGCCATTGTAACGCTCCCCCACCTCGAACACCGGGAGGATTGGCTATGGAGGAGACGCCACGAACAAAAACCAATCAGAAAAAGTCTAGAGATCAACAATTCTAAGTACTGATCTCTGGCCGCGAATCCAGAATCCTGGTACTCACCCTCAGAATCGACCCGGACCCTATCATGAAGCTCTCCTGATCTCATCGATGAACACCAACAAACAAGTTGTATGTTCTATCAATGAGATCATGAAAGCTGCCAGTGCCAACTTCAAGCTCGACCTCCACGTAAAGCACCTTGAAGCAGCAAGACTTGAACTCGCTGTGAAAAATGGGAAAGCTGGTAGAGGTTCACCAGCCTTCTCGCTGTCTGTGCCGTTACTACTACTAGTGCCAATATCCTGTAATCTGATATCACTAGCTCTGATATGAAGAGAAGATTTACCAGCGAGGAAGTAGAACTGGCGCTTGGTGCAATAGATACTGGGTACTAAATAAATGATGGGTGAACTTTCGCAACGGCATCGAGGTACGCATAGTGATGATATAGAAAATAGGGACCTGCTATCGCGATGTATGGCGTGTCGAATATCCGGAAATTGAATGCACACGCCTACGTATTGTCCTTTGTATCGATCTATGCAAGGTGCGTGAGCTCATGCATGCTACGAGTAAACATCCATACCTCGGTGTCTTGACCCAGAACACGGCAAACACCTGCATATGAGGGGCATCTCAAATTCCGCAATGATCAGCACAGTAAAAGAATTTTTCGTCAACGTAAAATAAAGATTAGTATTCTGTGAGGAAACAGTAGACCGCGGGATCTCTCTCGGTGTCTACTGCCTGGTGGAATCTCTAATACTGGTGGTGCGGTGGGCTTCATCTGAAATCCAATGAGTGCTTCCAAGGTGATGGCGATGAGAAATGGAGTAGCATGGCGCAGGTGTAACTGCCAGCTTATGGGCAATATCAACCTGACAGGATGTGTGCTGCTCAGAGCGAAGTCGGGTGAGAGAGGGGGGAGGAATGGGAGGATAATATCTCGAGGGACTCACCTTTAAGTAGTTCGCATGGTTTAAGAGACAATCCTATCGTAGTAGATCTTATTGTTGAATATATCTAGGAAGAGTCGTCGTATTTGGGACTCAGAATCCTGTTGATAGTCAGGAAGCTGACTGTTGTGACTATGGAATCGTCACGTTTAAAGGTTCGATTTACTTACAAGTATACAACGATGGAATCACTCACGTATAGGGCAATGATTTCTCCGAGGATTCATGACCAGCTGATTCAGAATTCTTTGACAGTTTGGGAGACCGTTTATTTTTCAGCTATTGAATGGTCATTTCAAGGTTCAAATTACTCACAAGGGTGCGGGAGTCCTGGAGGGATGTTCAATTTACCCTCCCAGCGGCGCAGATTGTTTGTGGAATTAGATGTGCCACCGTCGGGTCCCTGCACCGGAATGCGACGTTCGGGCTGGAACTGCTGGTCAACGAGCTATGACGGAAGAGACTGATCAGGTGCCTGACCTTGCCTGACTGCAGTGCTCGTAGTTACAGTTGTAGAAAGCTTTTCCGTCACTGTAATATTACGGGGCTGCAAGTGGAGAATCAGTTACGATGCGGTTTGCAGATCGTTACATGTAATTCTGAAACATGAGAGATTTGCTGGAAGGCCCCATATTAAAAAATGGTATTGGTCCTTATTAGTCTTGTGGTACAGCAACTTCAAGTCACGGCGAGACGAGAGAAATAATTGGAGCCATGGTCAACGGCAGCAAAATCAGGCTACAAACGAAGGCATGTAGATAGTTGCTCGAACATGAGTATATCCCAAAATCAGATCTCTGACGGTACTCCTGTGATATAGTGACCAGTGACCGGAGAAGATCTGAAAGATTCAAGATGCCGATTGACCTCATGCCACGAGTATAATTCGGGGTATACCGAGTATAGAACCCTGTCGACGCAAGGGAGCATGGAGAAGATGATGCGAGCAACAGCTTCGCCATCTGCTAAATCAGATGGTCTCAAAATCAGTTGCTGTAGAGCGGTATGTTGAAATGACTCTGTGTCAGGATCGATATCGATGTTCACGGTGTCCGTTGATATCTGCAGCCAATGCAAGTGGGGACAATGACGGAGCGCTGCAAATAACCCGCGGAATGTAACGGGTGTTATCTGCTGGTCCACTAATTCCAGCCAGACTATGTGCGGCCACGCTGACATGGCTTCGAAAAGAAGGTCGTTGTTAATGATAATGGAGTAATGAAGACTGAGCTGCAGGTATCGGAGCTGCGTGAAACAAAGGAGGTGTGTAACTGCTGCCAAAGAGTTGCCTGGAGGTTCGTGAACCTCTGGGCCCGAACAAACCATGATAATGGTTTCGAGGGTGTGGCATGCTTTGCACTGGGATAGTGCACGAAAAAGCTGCTCAGCCTCCATCCGCGGCAATACATCGACATCCATGCGGAATTCTTTCAATGAGGGGAATTCTGAGTGTCGCATGAGTGTTGTGATGTATGTGGCTGTGTCTGAGCGGAAAAAGAGAGACGTGAGGTTGAGGAAAGGTGTGAAATTGAGATTATGATTATTAACGAGATCTAACTTGGGGGACGGAATTTTTCTCCTCCTCCTGCCAATTACGACTTCGAGAAGGGTATGGAGGTTGGACAGGTGCTCCCATGCAGCCAAGTTGAGGGGTAGACAAGTCAGAGTTACAAGTCGCTTGCACGAACGGACGCTGTCAGACAGTATGGACAGCTTATCCGTTATGTCCCCATCAAAGGATTCTACGACTAAGTGCTCCAAAGTAGTGCAACGAGTCACCATTAATATGAAATCTGGTTGGATGTACTCTTGGTAGCAACTACGCAGCATGGGGGACAAAAAGAGATGCGAGTAGCTAGTTGGAGGTAGAAGCATGAAGGATATTGATGTCAGTCTAGGGAACAAGCATGTCTCGTTGGGGAAGACTGAGAGCAGGTGAAAATGGGTGTCGGATTCTATACGAATAGAGCGCACACGGGTGGCGTGACGCAAGAATTGATGGGTCTCAAGCTCAGATAATGGTTCGAGGCCTTGAGAGGACCAGCAGCGGTAGTAAGTATACTGTGTTTAAATGCTCTGTGAACCTATGGATGAGAAGGGCACGATACACTGACCTTTTGATATACTATTGGATGCAGCCTCGTCACACAACCTAGTAGTTGATCCAGGTCCACTATGTCGGCCCAAAGCTCATTCATTGCAGACTCGTGAAAGGCTTTGCATGTCGTTGCAAGTGCTGCAAAGCATCTCGAAGATGCTCTGCGATCAGGAAATCGGGAGAATTCAGATCGGAGGAATCCAAATATCTCTGGAAGAACATCGGGTACAAGTAGAGCTCGATGCATCATCACTGCAGACTTTCACAAGCTTGCTTGCAGGGTCATACATGAAGGTTATCTACATGAACAAACAACGGAAAAATCCGAACAAATTTCTCTCTCGCTCGCCTCAAATGGCGAATGATTAATTCACAATGGCCCCCTCTGGGCATACTTGTACCCTTCGTATAATGGTTCGAGGCCTCGAGATGACCAGCATGGAAAGTAAGATTACATGTTCTGTGAACCTATGGATAACTTCACGCTGACCTTTTGATATACTATTGGATGCAGCCTCGTTACACAGCTTATGGCAAGTCCCCCACGTCAGCCCAAAGCTCATTCATTGCAGGCGCTGCGGAGTGGCTCAAAGTTGTTTTCATGAATCTCGCCCACCTCAAATGACGATGATTAATAATCCCTGGTCTGATTTCACTGATGAGTTCACACCCCTCTTCTCGCTCGTGATGTTGCTCCTCTCGCGATACTCGATTGCTATCTTTTTGCGCATTTCAGAAGATTACAATCAAAGTTTGGACAATTCTGAACCGCTCGAGACACCCGTGAGGTTTGGACCATGACGATAGACATCTTTGTTGCAGTCGGAGGTGTCCTATCAGTCATGCGTCCCGTTCATATTCCTGCCCTGACGAAGTGAGTCCCTGCTTTTAAGATGATGGTCGTCGGTTTCCAAGTCACTCGTCAGTTTTAGGAGAACGAGAATTTCTTAATATAGTTCTTCGGCTTCTGAAATCACTTGAACTGTTATTCTTTGGACAAGTATATCGGGCTACAAGATCCATTGCCCAAGTCGAGACGACACAGCACTACTCCCATTTATTGACACGTTTCGTACACCACTATCTTCAGAAGTTCAATCAACTATTCACTGACACAAGTGGCATGATTATTGGTTCCTGCCCTATTAACATGGATCCCGTTTAATCCTGTACGAGTATTCTGATACTCGGTCCTTCAGCACACACAGGGCATCGTAAGTTTGCCATGGACGGCGCAAACTATGACCAATTTGATTCGGTTCTCAATCGCGTCCGACGCCGGACCCGTCCAGAGCCCGAGGAAGAAGAGCGCATGTGGTCCGAATGCGGTTATGACGGCGTGTCGCGAAGTTCCAAGGTGCCTGAGACGTTAGTCTTCACAGCCAGCTCAAGATGATGACGAATCTATGTGGGACGAGGAAGATGCAGAGTGAGAAGTGAGTCTGGATTTGTGATCAGTTGATCGATAGTCTTTGCTCATGTTCAAGATTTTCTTGAATTCTTTGCATTTGGCTTTACTTCATTGATTTGTCACACCATACAGCACTTGTAGCATTATTCCAGCCTATTTTCACTTGTCTATAGGACGCGCAAAGAATCAGGAAACCCCAGAGGAAAAGTCGTTTCTCAATCGATCGTAACGGTCAACAACGTAACAATACCATCTTGAGCGATGCCTGACAGTTGACCCTGATGTCAGATAAGCAACTACTTAACCGATCAAGCTCACCATGGTTAATACCATCAGAGCCAGCTGCGAGGAGACCAGTGATGTTTTGAGCAGTGGTACTGTATTTGACCCCGTTAAACCATGTTTCACCAACTGCTGCTGACACCAGCTGGTCGCTGAAACTGGATTGGTGATCCGTTCGTTACGGTCACGGAGCTACTTACCGGCCAATATCATATCCATCTGGCACGATATTATGATTTTCTGATGCTGGCTAAAGGTGGCGTTCGGTTGTGCAACAAAACCTTGTCGAATTACGCACCTCCTCTCGAGACACGCTGGCACATCAAGTAAGATACTAGTAGAGCAATAGACAATCTAGGGATGCTTACGCTAGGAAGAGAGCGCCACTGTCCGCCGTAGTGCCATTCTGTACATAAATACTGGACGAATATTATCACCACCCTAGATCAGTAGTCAACAAATTTACCGAAAATGATTTCCTCCGACGAGGCTCTCAAAACACGTTCCGCCTCCCGCGTTTCCATAGTCCTGGCGAAGTTCAATGGTTTGATTGACCCATCCGTTTCCATCTCCCAAGTCGGCAGACATATAACCACCTAAGTGAAGGCCGAAGCATTCTTCAGAGCTATCGCGAGCAAATAAGTAAGACGCAGCCCACAGATATTGCCATGCTTACAATCCAATAGCACGAGCAAAATTGATAGCTCCGTCAAATGTGAGGACACCACGAGAGCTAAGTCCAGAGATGATGACCTAAATGTTTGGGGTCAGTCAAGCTACACATTAAGCGAGGGTGTCACGGTGATGAAAGATAAATACATTCATAGGTTCACCATATCCATCGCCAGCATTGATGAGCATCGATCCGCCTCCGGGAGTCGGGTTATAATAAGCGATACCACCCCACTTGTCCATCCAAGGTGATGATACTGGAATGAATTGTAGATATGGCATCACAAAACCAAGTAAAGCATTCATAAGATGCATCTTGTTGATGAATGATGAATACGTCGAGTCTTATGCGTGGATCAAGAGGAAGGGTATATAACCTGGTAGCATAACACACCACATCTATTTTATACGCACTAGCTCGAAGGTGGGAATGACATGCGGAAGTAGCACGCACCAGGTTAGACAGCGAATGCAGCCGGTTCTGGAATTATACAAAACCAGTGTTGTCGGCACGGCTATAAGACAGCCGTTTCATTTGTACACAAATGATTTCAATAGATCGAAAATCAAATCTGACACCAAGGCGAGGTCTGACAGACAGATGGGCGTTGGCTTGGATGCGGCCAAGAAGCTCGTTGATTCGGAGATCGAGGTCCTGGGTCACCCCCACGCACCTGTACTAGTAAAGAAGGCCATCTAAACTCTGGACTTGTTTCGAGTATATCATGATAGAATGAAGAATCCGCGAATGGAGATCTCTCTAACGAGCACAAAATCATTATTTGAGAGTCGATCGGCGAATGAAAAACTCGATGATTCGACATATTGCCAACTCAACATCAATTGAGGCAATTATGCAGAAGACAATATTTCCTTCATAACTGGACCATCGACACCAAGCCAGGTAAGAGACCGAATACTATCAAAGCGTCCTGTGATATGCATGTACAAAGCTCACAGAAAAGGACTTTCAAGAAGGAAGTCTGCGTCACGAAGGAATGAACGTTTGAAGCTTGTTTTCCGAACGTCTGCTTCTGAACTTCCGAACAATTACAGATTCCATATATGGAAGTATGTTATCGTGGTCCTCGAAACTCAAGTTATTATGGGACTGGGCTAGAACGTCTACAATTGCAAGACATGTTGTCATTACCTTGGGGAGAGCACTAACGTAGCCAGTGCACCACTGTACGACTCATTTGTACTGGACACTTGTTCATGACCAAATCTGTGCTGCCTCCATTATTCAGCTACTGATCTGCTAGTAGTGACCTCGAGCTCCATACTCATGGCTAATACCATCACTGTAGTGACTTGAATTCAGATGGATGCATTTTACGTGGTGCTGCAAGATTCGTGATGGGACTGGACCCTAAATACTCATCAGCATTGCCTGTTCAGATAGGCAAATAGTACATGACCCGGCCATCAGAAACAAGTATAGAGCATCAGTTGGACATTAAATACTACACGCATAATCGAAGTAGTGCAGTAGAACATTGTACAGCACAGACACAACAACATTTGGGCTAGTAGCTGACTGGTCAATGCTTGATGAAATCATGGGAGCTACCAGTGCCAACTTCAAGCTCATTGCTTCTTGGACCTGTACCAAGTGGCACCCTGAGTAGGACCCTGTAACTACTCAACCAGCATAAGGCGCAACAGCACCAAACTGCCATACGGCGCCAGAGCACTACCCAACCTGCTCATAAGCACAATAGTTATTAAGTCTAACCCACATAATGTCAACAGATCCTCTGGAGAACTCCCAAAACTCCAAACAGTCAAGACCCAAATGACATGCGGCCACATTCAGGTCCTCCAAAAGATCCATTCCAGAACTCCTTAATGACCCTGCAACTGCCTCAGACATAATCGATGAACGTACAGCGAGAATAGCTTTAGAGACTAGGTTGTTCATCACCCCAGCAGCAGAAATAACCATAGATACACTAACCACAGCGCTCCTGGAATTCTCAGTTCAAGCACCATCCCTCACCCCAATGCACATAGACATAATCCGTGCCATAGCTATCCTCCTTTTCAAAACTGACCATGAACAAAAAGCTAACATAATTTCAGATGCAGTATGCACACGCTTAGAAAAACCTCTTACTCGGCTAAACAAGATGATAGACAACACTCCCACAGACGGTGTCAACCTCGAAACCTTGAATGAAGCAATAAAGAAAATGGAAGCATCAGTGGACAAAATAACAAATGCAATGAAAGAAATGAAGGACTCAGTTGATAAGCTCGCTCCATCTATTAACTCAACGCAAGGAAACAACGCTAACACCGTTAATATAGAATCCAGCCTTGAGAAACTACAACAAGAGATGACCACTCTATGTTATGAACTAGGATAGTTGCAATGACAGCTACTTGATAAGAGCAATGGCTGGGGTTGAATCAAGACCTTACAAATGTAAGGGTTGTTAAGACAAGTCAAGGAGAGTGTCCTTGGCTTGAATATTGATGATCAGATGACTTAGGATTGGAGGTCCTAAGTGAAGGATGTTTCAGGTGAGAACCTAGTAGATTAAAGTGAAGTTCTACTGAGTACATGACCAAGTATATATAGTAAGTAAGCGCTTTAGGGCAAGCACAATGAGTCATAGATAAGGACGAGTCAGAGATAAGGACGAGTCAGAGATAAGTCATCTAGTGATGGCAATAGCGATCATGATGTAATACAGATAGAAGAAATGAGTCATCTAGTGACGGCGACAGCGGTCATGATGTAATACAGTAAGAGATGAGAGAAATAAATAGGGGGCAAGCATAACTGTAACATTACCCCTTGTTTAGGAATGAAGTCACCGACTTCAGTTATCCTGATTAGCCCAGTAAATGGGGTTGGCGTCGTAGTTTGAATCGAGCAAGTTGTTCTGTTCCTCAGTGATAGGGAGTGACCTATCAGCTAGTTCAGTGGTGTGGTAAATG